AGTATAAATGTAATAAAATATATAAAAAGTCGATGCCGTATTCCAATAAATATTTTACCATCATTCTAGCATAGGCAGATCCAATTCGACCAGCTCCTATTACACCAGCAGTGTGTCCTTTAAGCAAGTTCCCCACAAACCTACAAACAAACATCCATTCTCATATATACCTACACGTATATATATATATATATATATATATATATATATATATATATATATATATATATATATATATATATATATATATATATATATATATATATATATATATATATATATATATATATATATATAAATGATAAAGAATCATCATACAGTATGAGGAAGCCATCCATCATATAAGCCAGCTCTCATAAACTCATCTGCTTCGACAATTCTTCTCGATGCTGCTAAAGAAAGCGAAGCTGCCAGCTCAGCTGTAGTTTCCGTTAGTACTCCCTGATCATAAAAATATATATATATATATATAAATTCTTAAAATTCAAGGAAAAAAACACACACACATACACTTCCCAATCTTCGTTTATGCGTAGTGTATATCATTCGAACAACACAAATCCCATGTTATGTATAATGTCAATTCTATTTAAATTAAATTGAATCTCAGACAATAGAAATAAATTCAAACTAGTACTTACAAAAACATCAAAAATTAATAAATAAATAAATAAATAAATAAAATAAAAAAAGAAAAAAGAAAAAAGAAACTCACAGGAGTATTGCCAACAGCAACACCATACTTATTAGCAGCATTGACATCAACATTGTTGTAGCCAACAGCCATATTACTAAATGCTTTGCCTCCTGCTTTGCTCAATGCAGAAAACAACCTCTCACCCCAGTCTTCAGTCAACTATCATAAACAACCCCAAACAAAAAAATAATTACATTTAAACCCCAAACACAAATTATCATATCCCAAAAAACCCAATTACCTGTCCAATGACTCCATCACACTTATCACCAATCAAAGAAATGATGTCATCAACAGACAGTATGGTTTTCTTCTGTGTGCATATCTGTAAACAAACAATAAAATGAACAAAAAAATACAATCAATCAGAAATTGAGAAATAAAGATGAGATTTTTAAATTTGATTTTAATTTTTAATTTACTTCGAGACGGCAATCTTGTTCGATCAAGGCATTAATCCACTGGGTACCGGGCATGGGTTTGGTGCTGATAACTCTGTATTTTCCATTGGGATTGTAAACCTCAACTTGCAAGGGTTTCGCCATTACAAATTGAGCTCTACACACTTACTGTGTGTGTTTGTGTGTGTGTGTGTTCTTCTGGTTAAGTGCCAGTACTCAGCCAGCAAATTATAAAACTTCAATTCCGCAGGTTGAAAAATATGGAGCTAAATTTCTACGTATTGATTTGATCAGGAAATCGACGGTGGAGATTAGTGATTTATGGGTGGTGCGGATTGAATTTGAAGGGTTTTATGGGCCTCTCGTTTGAACATGAGATAATGAAAATGGTGGATTTGCGACACGTGTGAAGGAAGCTATCCTTTTTGTGAGCCACTTCTTTTGGAAGAACAAATATTTGTATATATTATTTTATTTATTTATTTTTGATTGCATTTTGGGCATTTGTTAATGTTCCATCACATCTTCAAAATTACATAGACAGAAGTACTCTGAATGCTCGATTGAAAATCAGTTGGTTGTTACAAGTTTGATTCGCTAACATAACGAATTAAACTTGAACATATATTTTTGTTTGGTCGACTGTGAATTTCAACGCAAGATCGAGCTCGATTACACGGGGATAATAAAAAATATATAAATATAGGGGGTCATGTTGGATCCTGGAGGGTTTGATCTGCTCTGGATTGTGATTTATGTGGAATGTGATCTGCAAAAGAGAGGAAAGTTCCGTACTTAAGGCAAAATTAACACTCCAATGGCCAAGTCGTTCAGTTTTCTAAAAAGAGATTATCTCCTAAGTCACAAATATCAAGATTGTTGTTCTTACCTTTTTACACTCATGGTTGTCCAATATTTATAGCCACGTCCGGACATCATTAAAAATATCAACAGAAGTCAAATTTCATGTACCTTGTCATGTCACACAATGTGTTAAATATTGTTCGAAAGCAAGTTTGCTCGCTAAGGAATTTGCTCCTTAGTTGTCTCTTGCCTTATTAGATATAAAATAAGCTACAATTATTTAATTAATAATGTATCTTAATATTTAGTCTTTAAAGTACATAACGTTGGGAAGGTACATAAAAGTAGTTCATTATTGACTATTTCCCATTTATGCGGCCCAATAGAACACATTGTTCAAGTCCATCATGAAATTTGTATAGGCCCAATTTTCACTTTGTTAAAACATACAAACTCCAATTAATCCGTTTAATAAATTTATTTTATAAAATAAATCAATTATTTATTAAAAAAAAAAAATCACAACTACATGATGAACTACTTATCACGAATTATTCCACATTTTATATAAATATTCAATTTTGTGGTATAATATAATATGATATATGTTATTTTATAGTTAGTAGCAAGACAATATCAAGATCCACCCACCCATATATCAACATAATGTTGACATGTCCCATAGGCCCGTGTATGATAGTCTAGCGCTTTGAGCAAGTGAACTTGTGTCAGTTGACCAAAGTTTGAAATTTCTATGACTACGGTAGCTAAGTTAAGCTTATCACCCGTTGTGTTAGTCTAGTTTTGTTTAAGTCTCGTATATAGTTTACAAATTATTTTGCGAGAGTATAGATTTATCCATCTGATACATCTGTATAGTTCGCTGCGGGTTTTTTTATTAAAAAAAAAACAACATAATGTTGACATTGTCTTCATTGTACTGCTTTGGAATTTTCCACAGTTAGTGGGACAAAGACTTTTGGAATATAGGCTAATGTATTTTTTCATTTAAGTTATCTCAAATAATAAAGAAGATGTGAAACCCACCAAACTTGTCTTAAGTTATGAATTGTGGACTCAATTAGGCCACATCCTCTTATGTTTTAATTACTTCCAACTCTAAATTATGTAGGCACTACTCTTTCAAACAAACATCTTTGAAAAAAAATTAAAAATGTTAGGTTTGAATTCAAAATTTTATTATGTAGAGGTTGTGAATATCTATAATATTAAAATGATTAGACTTGTTCAAACATTTTTTTAATGATAAACTACAGCTATCTTTGAAGTACGCTCAAATTAGATAAAAGAAAATCTTTTATATTTAGATTATTACAATTATCCATCAATAAAATATTGTGTTACCCATTTTTACGATGTTAAATTTTCCAAATAGTATATAGTTAATCTAAGTTTAACACATGAGGGGGACAGTAATTTGACTTTTCTTTAAACTTTCATCATTCGATACTCATTTTGAGTTGTATTCCAGTCATTACAATAAATTTAATAAATTTTCTCATGAATATGTGTGTATTTGTGTTTAATGAAATATACAATAAACTCTTATAAGAAAAAGAATATACAGTTAAACCTCTATAAATTAATACAGTTGGGACCATCAAGATTTCATTAATTTAGCGAAATATTAACTTATCGATAAATTAATAATTATTAATTTATACATTAATTAATAACTTATTAATTTATGAAATTATTTTTATTATTATTTTCAATAAATACATTTATTTTTTATTTTTTTACGTGTATATTATTCATTATACCATTCGTTCAATGCACTATAGAGCCCGTTTCACGAATGGAAGCTCTTAAAACAGTAATGGTATAGAACGATTTATGTTGAGTTATGAGAAAACTATACCGAAAGTTCTAACCATGTTAAGAAAAGTGAGGGACGAGATTGATGGTAATGTGAACTTCTACAAGAAACAAGCGAGAATTAAATTATATTATATTAAGCATTCATATATCTATAAAATATGCACTATACCATGTAATTTAAGAACTTTTTTATGCATTATTAATTTATATATTATATGGGGCTTCTTAAAATTTCCGAATGTGTATTATCTTATAAATTTAGCGAATTATTAATTTAACACGTTGTCCCCGAGTCGGGACCGAGAAAATTTATTATTTAAGCGAGGTTATTAATTTATCGGGTATTAATTTATCGAGGTTCTACTGTATAAATAATATAATAATATACACTCACTATATATTACCACGTATATCCTTTCCGCACGCATATAAAAATTATATATATAATAAAAAAAAGAAAAAAATAAATAAAAAGTACGGAAAATATTATATTTATTGTAAGAAACGGTTAAATTGCCAGCGAAGATAGATTTGCAAAGAGACTAGTCTAAAAGAGTAGGTACTTTATCCTTTCCCAAAATCCGAATCCTTTATTTTTCTACCCTAGAACTCAATTTTCAGGGGTTAAAAATCCTGGAAAATCCCCAAATTCTTCATTTTTGGTGAATTTGTCTGTAATGGAGAGACTAATCTACTCCAATTCAATTCCGGCTCACCGCCGCCTCAATTCCCCGTTTCTACCCGGACCAGCCCGGGCTGATTCGGCCCGAAAACCCGCCTTCTCTTCTTTTCCTTCTCCGACGTCGTTTCCGTCGCTCCGCCGACCCGAATTACGCCGGTTCAACCCGCTTTCTTGTACCCTGAACGGCTCTTCTTTTCTTCCCCCCAAAGCTCTTGACGATTGCCCTGGAATTGACTTGTCTTTTTCTTCGGATTCGGAAAATGGGTTTAAACCTAAGCCCCATTTTCTCAAATTGGCTGCTGAAAAATTGTCTCGGCATCAGAAGGTATGTATTAATCCATCGGAAATCTCTGTTCTATGTTAATTTTGTTTTGTTATTACGATTCTTTGGATTATTCAGTTTCTTCGTAATTTCTGGCTTTTCTGTTATGTGGATTTTTTTTGGTAAGAATAAATGAATTAAATCAATTTGGGCGCCGTAGATTTGTTAATGAAGAAATCCCCTGTTTGTTTGCTTGTTGTTTTTTGCTGTATATCTTTTTGTTGGGGTTCAATATGCATCATGGATAAAATGTAGCATTAGTTATTCAGAACTCGTTCTGGATATACGTTTTTCGAACTTCATTGCCTCAATTCAGCATAAAAATTCCTCCTTTTATGTTAATTTGATTACAAAAGGGTTACTTGCCATTAGTAATTTGTCAACTGTTTGGCTTCGTTTGGGAATGTTGATGGGATTTATAAGGTTGATTGGGTTGTATATGAACTTTGTATTGGGTAAAATTGGTATCTTGGAAATATTTTTAGAGCACGTTAGCTTACGAATTAACGATCGTTACAAGAACATCTGTTCCTGCCCTTCTGTTTCTACTCATGTTTGGTGTTAGGATTATATCTTCTTGATTAAATGTTATTGACTGCATCCTGAATCTTTTTTTTTATCAGGTAATTAACACCGGATCAATTTTACTACTATCAACAATCATCCTAACATTCCTCCACCCAACTGCCATCGTGCCGCCAGCTCTCGCCAGTTTCGAAAGCGCAGCCAAAGCCGCAGGTCCAGCCACAGTTGCTGTGGGGACCCATCTCATCCCCAACGAGCTACTAAGCAGCGCGTGGGCCGGTTTCTTTGCTGGTTGCCTCCACACACTATCAGGCCCCGACCACCTTGCCGCCCTAGCACCGCTCTCCATCGGCCGGACAAGGCTCGAAAGTGCTGCCGTGGGAGCCCTATGGGGCTGCGGCCATGACGCGGGCCAGCTCTTATTCGGCCTATTATTCCTCCTCCTAAAAGATAGGCTCCACATTGAAGTCATCCGAACATGGGGTACTCGAGTAGTAGGCTTCACTCTCTTAGTCATCGGTGCAATGGGTATCAAAGAAGCTTCAGAAGCTGCTATCCCAGTGCCATGTGTTGCCCTAGAAAACGGGGAGTGTGATGTCAGCAATTACGAGGCGGCACTCACCAGCTCATCATCCGGAAAAAAGAAAATAGGGTTTGCTACATTTGCAACGGGGGTTGTGCATGGGCTGCAGCCTGATGCTTTGATGATGATTTTGCCTGCGCTTGCTTTGCCTTCTCGAGTAGCTGGTGCTGCATTCCTGTTCATGTTTTTGGTGGGGACCGTTTTTGCTATGGGGAGTTATACGGTGTTTATAGGCTCGTGTAGTCAAGCACTCAAGGATAGGATTCCTAGGATTACTGAGAAGCTGACGTGGGCGTCTTCGCTTGTGGCCATTGCACTGGGAATGTCTCTTTTGGTTAGCCAGTATTTCGGATTTAGCTTGTATTGATTTTTTTTTTTTAATTATTTTTTTCTGCTTTCTGGATTTTGTTTGGCTTATCATCTCTTTTAGTGGTAGTTGGAGATTTTGAGAGCAACTAATTTATATGTCGAATGTGATAATTTTGAAGCTGTATAATACATTATCTTCCTCAAAAGAGTGTAACAGATTTGAATGTTTTGTTTTGAAGAGTTATTCGTTTAATATTGCATCTCGTTTTGTACAACACGAACACAATTCGTAGTTAATGTATCGACTTTTTTTATGCAACACGAATACAAAGATATGCAAAATCGTTGTTCAATGTATCGACTTTTTTTATGGAAGAAATATCCTTAAACATAGCCATGTGCCACCACAAATTAATTGGAAATGAAAGAGAGTATATTCATCGTAATAAGAGGAACACAACACACATCAAGAGAGCATTCACACAAAGAAACTACCTACAACTCTGAATCAACGAGTATTTTTCGGGCATTTTCACAGTTGTTAAAAATCTGAATTGACAGGGAAGTTACATTACTGCCAATTTCAAGAATGGGAACGAACACAGAGTGCTCCTCGAGATTTAAGATTTCCTATGAAGGTAAGGTTGTTCAATGACGAGCAAATCATCAGCTGCTGGTTCAATAAAAAAGCTCTTTTAATCCTCAATGCTAGTCCGTGATTATGCTCCTCCAATAAAATCAAATCAAATCAAACGGAATATTCCAAGTGTATTTGCAAAATCAAGCCACCATGCTGCTCCCCTACCGCTTTTTGCTAATGTCGTAAAGTATGCAAGCATCTGAAGCTGTCTTCATCTGACACCACAGAATTAATAAGCATTAGAAAATAATATTGAGCACCATAGAATGATCGATGGAGGAAAATTTATAAGGTTGTTAAAACCTAAGAAAATGAATACACGGCAACAAAGAGCAAAGAGAAGATGCTCCTTGAGGTGTTCGTTCGTTTATTTACCTGTATAATATTCACGAGTTGCTTGATTAACCATCCAACAACACTCAGAGTAAGTAAAATCAAATAGAACCAGCTTTGTGTGGCAGCATTTACTAAAACCTGGGAGAAAAAATAACATATGAAAATATGCGCCGAAAAGAATTTGAAATCTAAATTTCTATTGTGACCCAAAAAAAGAGATGCAATCACCAAGATGAGGCTTACTTCAGTAAGATTCTCAGTCTCATTCTTCGCCAGCAGAAATAAAAGAATGTACAGAACCTGTGCACCAAACCAATGAATAAGTAAGACAAGCAAAAAAAATAAAAAAAAATTAAATTCATGTATAGGATATATTCACCTCACACGATACACAGCAGTAACCCATAAATTTCCGATTCCCATAATAAAGCCTAAACAGCCAACTGCTGCTATCTTTGACATCCTTGTGACTAGTTTTGCCCACCAAGAAAGAACTGGAACAAAAAAGAGAAGGTAAATACCTAAGGTACCTAAATCCATAAGTTTTCTCGATTTTCTCGATTTTCTTAACTGAACATGGAACTACTCGAAACAATGTAAATACCTGTACATTTGCAACCAATGGCTGCCAATATCTAGAGCAAGCAGTGACAAGAAAATCAACCCAGGCCTAACAGATTTCGGGGTGAGAAGTGAGAACTAATATTACAGCAGATTAACACAATTTACAATATAGTAAAGTCGAGAAAATTACCTATAAACTTGGGAAAGTATAACCAACAGACAGGCAGTGCTTATTCTGGGATGTAAAACACATAAGATGAACTTTGTCAATAAAGGGCAAAATAGACTTTTCGACAAACACGACAATGCAAGTCTAAATAAAAGACATTTAAATCACAGATACCTGTCAGTAACCATGTCCAGAACAGCTCCAAATGTTGAAACTGAAGTATATAAGAGTGTAATTAAGCAAGTTACTTTCCATGTAATAAGAAAAATCAACATTATCAATGAAAAAAATCTTCATGCAAGCTTTCCAATTTTCCAATTAATGTTTCTTCCAACACGAAGAATAATGTTCTGATTTTCGAATCATAACCAACAAGCGATTCAGTACCCCCTAATTGATATACATACACTCATATTACTACTATTCAAATTTGAATGTTGAATTATAAACCCTAACCTTGATTCAGTTTCCGTGCAAACCAACCGTCTAATGCATCAAACACAAAGCTGAAAAAAAAAAACAGGAATTCAAAATTAGATTCATAACCTAGCTTTATCCAACAGAAAATCAAAAATCAAAATAAAAAATTGAAAAGAACAAATAGGATCCACACCTCACGAAATACAGAGCGGAGAAGAGATACTTGTCCTTGAAGCATATCGCAAAAGCAAAGCAATTCATCAAAATTCTAGCATACCCTGCCCGATAATTGAACAACGTGAGATCGATTACGAGAAAAAATCGCAGCTAAATCATGGATTGAGTAGAGTAATCTAGCAGCGGAGAGATTTAAATTAAAAACTCACCGATTATATTGGGAACGTAAAGGTAAACACTCAACGTACTGGGCTTCGATTTATCCGCCATTGGAGAAAACCTTCCGATGATTTTTTTGGGGGTTGAATTCTACAAATCAACTGAAAATGGTCGCATCAGATTCGCTTTTTTCTTTTTTTTTTACGAATTCCTGCCAGTTGCTCTGTAGTAGCGTTCGAGAAAATGGGGAAGATTTCCCATATGGTGTAACTTCAGGGGTGTGAAAGTAAATAACAAAAACTTATAAGCAAGCAAAGTATTCAAGTCAAGTTGCACAAAATTAATTAAATAAGTAAACAAAATCCATGTCATCCATCGAACTCTCCACCATGACTGAGTATATATATATATCTCTACAATTGTTACATTCCCACCCAATTATTGATTTAAGGATTAAAAAAATAAACAAGATATCAAATCCTAAATATGGTAGATTAGGGTTGGGTAAGGGTAGGGTCGGACATTTATCAGCTAATTGTTCTCGCCAGCATGATCACCTGATTTTGCTGAAAATTGAAACTTATTATCGGCCCAGCCGTTATGAATTGAATAATAGCTGACAACCGATTTTGTACGCTAAACAAATGGTCGGTTGGTTGGTATTATAAACCATCTATTTATTGATTTTTCAAAAATATTCAAAAGTTTGAAAAAACTTATGTTGCAAAAACTTAACGTTAAAATTAGTTTTAAACGATTTTTTTTTTATTAAACATGGACAATAAGTAAATATGTAATGGTAATATATGAAATAAGAATTATAAAATAGGAATAGTGGTTTGTAAATTTGAGTTTTAATTTAGTTTATCATTAACAAAATAAGAATTGCAATTAAATATTTATAATAAAATTTTATTATTGAAAAGTCGGTTGACCGATATGACCCGATTAATCGGATTTTAAGCAAATTGAAAACTACAGACCGACACACTCCCATATGGGTTGGTTCTCACAGGCACTATGTATATTACCGTATTAATTATCAGTTATCGCCCAAAGTAAGTGGGTCAGGTTGACTGATCAATATGATCCATGCCCAGCTCTAGAATAGAAGCCCCAAATTAAGATACCAAGGCCTAAAGTTACTACGTAAGTGGGCTAAGAATTGGGTTGGCCCATATTAACATATTCTAGTCTTTTGCAAAGGTTTTTGGGTTTAAAATAATTGTTAGGAATATATATGGTAGCAAAGTTGGAATATTTATCCAATATAATTAAAGATGATATTTTTTTTGCAAATTTTAGTTTAATTTAATTTAATTACATTAGGAATTTTGTAGGAATATAAAATAGGGTAAATTTTATTTTGTACTCATGTACTATGCGAAATGTATCATTTAGCCTTGATGTATAGCGGCGTAAAAGAGTCATCAAGTTAAACACCATTAACAGTCTGACCATTGACCGAAAAAAATAGAGGGGCGTTTGACGCCGTCTATAAATTAGGGGGTCAATGATATTCCGCATAGTATAAGGGTGCAAAATGAATTTCACCCTATAAAATATAAATAAGTAAACAGAAGAAGAAAATTAAGCTTCATTTTTCGATTGTAGTAATAACTAGTAATTCACCCGTGCGATGCACGGGATCAATTTTTTCAAAAAAAAATATTTTGGATAAAATAAAACGAACGAAAACTTTGAACAATTGACATACATGTAAATAATTAAAAAAAATATTTTATTGAATCAAAATATTCATTTGTTTGTGATTTACCTACATATTCGCTGAAAATCTTTTGTGCACACAAGATTGCTCGTAATTTTAATTATATCGTCTGATTCTGAGTTGATAAATATCTTTATCTCAAATCTACTTTTAACTCTGGACATTGCGGCGTACAATTGCCTATCCACCCTAATATTAACACTAATATTATACTAACAACAACTACTACTACTAATACTAAAACCAACATTGATAATACTAATACCAATACTAATATTAATACTAAAACCAACACGAATAATACTAATATTAATACTAATCCTAATATTAATACGATAATTAATACTAATAGTTTAATACTATTATTAATATCAACACTAATATTAATAATAATACGCCACTTCTAATACGAATATTTAATGTTTAAATTAATACGCCAATACTAATAAGAAAACTAATACTAATACTCACACTAATACTAATACTAATAATAATACTAATACTAATACTAATACTAATGCTAATGCTAATGCTAATGTTAATGCTAATGCTAATACGCCAAGACTAATATGAATTTGAATACTAATAATAATACTAATAATGATAATAATAATGATAATAATAATGATATTAGTATTGATATTGATACCGATATTAATATTGATACGAATATTAATACACATACTGATACACATCCACATATTGATATTGATACTGATACCGATACCGATACCGATACTGTACTAATATTATTATTAATACTTATACCAATACTAATATTCATACCAATAGTCATAC